GTTGGTGGGTGACCTGGTGAGTCAGGTCACCTTGCACTGAATAAGTTCTTGGCAATGCCAAGACATCGAATTGCGTTGCCAGTTTGCAGACCTCATTTGGGGCAAAGCCGGCTTGACATTTTGCAGGGTGTGCGCGATGTGACCAGAATCTGCAAAGCTGCTGTCGTGAGAAATCCGCAAACCCTGTCCAAACCCGGCAATCAATCCCCAGACACCACACAGTAATTCACTACACAGTTCATTTCCGTTCAAGACATGCACACTGCAACAGACTGCAACACAAAGTCCAACCTGAGCAACTGGCAGGAGCTTTCCAATGTGAAAGGACGACCAGTGGGCAAAGACAAGCAAAGGCAGGTGTCGTTTTCCGATTTCAACTCTTTGCTGTTTCTGGTGATTGGAACCCCCATCTATGGAAGTTCTGGCTGGTTCCACACGGTTCAGCCACTGGAGGGGAACATTCCTGAAGGATTGGTCATTTGGAAGGCCGGATTGGCTACAGATGTGGAGTCCATGTCCCGCCCGGCTCCGAATGGCTGCTTCTTTGTGGGAAGCCTGGAGAAGTGCACCACACACACGGCGACACAGAGACACAGACGCACGCAGAAGACAGGGAGACACAGAGACACAGAGACGCAGACACACAGAGAGAAAGAAACACAAAGACAGACACACAGACACATACGCAGACGTAAACACAGGTAAAGACACAGACACCCACCCCCGCACCCACCCCCACACCCACGCACCCACCCACCAACCCATGCACCCACCCTACCCACCCTACCCACCACCAACGAACGGGGGCCCACCCACCCACCCAGCCAGCCAGCCAGCCAGCCAGCCAGCCACCCAGCCAGCCAGCCAGCCACCCACCCACCCACCCCGGCGCGCGCACGTGCGCTCGTGTGCACGCACGCATGCACGGGCGCGGGGACACGAGTAAAAGCCTTGAACTTTGGCTTGCACAATTGTCTAACTGCAATCATAAGAGTTGTTTACATCAGTTCATACTATCGCACTTGAACTTAACAGTGTTTTTTTGCCGCTTCAGTGCACCACCCACACAGTTGAACATGCATCAAGAAACAAGGTAACGTTTCACATTGGTAGCTGCATGGCAGTGTTCTGCGCCCCCGATCTCATGAAAGCACGATCGCAATCGCTAAATTGGCGGTTTAGCATTCTGTCCGTTGCCTTTTGGCAAAAGAACGACGAGCCCTTTGAAAGGAACCAGTCTAGCTTTGCAGGAGATCATTTGGCCCAATGGATTTGATGCTGCGCGAAGTGGGTGCGATCTGGACTAGCAGTTAGAAGGAACAACGGACCAGTCTTTGGATTTGGGAAGGTGTCTGGCGGGTAGTGGCACGATGCTTTAGATGCGCTCCGGAGCTGCGAAATCGGTCCGAGGACGAACAGGTCCTGCACCCGGGAAGTGCTTGCACGGATTGCCCGCCCGCGAGGGACACCAAAGCAGAAACCAGACTCACCGAGACTAACAGCTCGAGCCCCAAGGTCCATGGTGAGTGCGATTTTTCGGTGTGGGAGTTGATTAGTTTTGTTGTTTTTAATGAAAACCGTTGGGTTTGCATTGGTCGTAAAAGCACAACGCGCATCTTCAGATTGCGGATCACGTTGGTCATGGAGAGGAAGACCTTTCGGGGACCCCAAAAATCGAAGCTCAACAATGAGACACACATGTTCTATGCCAAGAAGCTTTTTCTGGCCAGTCTTTGTTTCAGTTCGACCTTGCCAAGTCTCACGGTGATTGTCACGTTGTGGTTTTACTACTGATGGTGTTCCCTGTTTTCCTACATTCGGAGGCAAGCGATGTCCTTTTGGTTTGCATTAATGTGCCAAACCTGCACTACAACCCGAGGTTCATTGCTGAAACAGTTGCCGTCAGGAACAACCACGCTTCTGGGTTATTTCTGCAAGCAAGGAGGTTTCACACGCAGTACAAAGATTGCGTTGTGAAGGGTAAGTTTGCATGGTATCCAGATACAGTATTGTCCTAGGTATTCTCCAAACGGACCAAGACCCATTTTGGAGCATTGTTGAATGGGCACCAGGGCGAACCAACGTGAAATCCATTCCGTAAAAAAGGAAGAAGAAAAAAACGGTTTTAACACATGCCATCTACTTGTGCTTCTTCATCCTACCAACTATACAAGTCATTCGGGCGGACGTTGGTCTACTGTGAACAGGGGCGAGGGGTTCCACTATCTTTCTCGCTTGTAGGTGGCAGCATCATTTTGGAAAGGGCATACTATTGCATGCCAGCTGTTTGGCTTGAAGTCTCAAGAGCAAAGACTGCGACGTAAGGCCAGAGCACGGTAAAGAATGTCAGGCAACAGGGCCAGGCTGCCGATCAGTCTAATCTACCTGCAACAGTGCATATGTTTTGAGGCATATTTGTTTGTTTGAAGGCGAGTCAATACTTTTTCTCGTTGGTCAAGGAAACCATTGTCGTTTGACAAAAGGCTACCTGCCTCATCATTGGTGTCTTCGCGCTCGGGCTCTGGAATGACTTTCCCGAAGTTGCACTGTCGAAGAAGATGGTAGCGATTGCCGAGCTCTCCAATAAATGTCTCATACCTCCACACTGTTTGACCCCAGTTTGTGAAATATAGGCAAGGGCTGGAGGTCTGAGAGCCCAAGACGGTGCTAGATTGAGGCCCTTGCCCAGAAGATCTAGAGCCGCCATGTGGCCTAGCGTTTTTGTCATCAGCTGCCGCTTAAGACGCGAGGGGCGAGTGCGAAAGCATGCGCAGTTGCCATGCACATTTTTCAACGCCCGCGAATTCCATCATGTTTGGGCCCTGAGCACCCATGACTCGCAAACTCCAGCATTGCCATACAAAAGTCCAAGAAATGAAAAGGGCAAAGAGCTGAGAGTTTGGAACCCTTGGGGCACAGGTTCCACCTGCGATTGCCGGCTTCCAAGAGACCGGATTGGGTGGCACCGCAGCATCCGGACATTAGTCCAGTGCGTGGCCCGGCGTAGACGGCCTTTTCAAACAGGGGTAGGCAGAAATCCCCGTAGCCCATGAGTTCATGTTTTTCATGTTGGTATGCGTGGACGAAGGGACCTCTCGTTGAAGCACCCCCACGCGCCTGCCCAGCCATGCCATCCGGGCATACAGCTCCTCTGCGAGGCGACTGACTGGGGATGTGACACTTGCGTGCAACGGTAGTAGTCTGGTGCAGCGTTCCACGTTCCATTCCGAAACTTGCACAGACGAAAAAGGCGTGCATGTGCAGAAGGCGCGGCAAGGTGTGGGTGGCCAAGCCGCTCCGGTTGAATGTTGTTCGTTTCGAAGCCAGAAGTTGGTTACGTGCGCCGACATGTTGGCTGATCGGTAAAGATTCGCAACAAATTGTTTGCCCTTCAATGCACAAAGCAAGTTGAAACTATTCGGCGGATCAGAGCAGGTCCCGGTCCGGTAGACTTCAAACAGTCCTCGAGATAATCCTGTGAAAAAATAGTGGCGGATTGCTTTTTTGGTTTACCTCGTGTATCAATTTTGTTTCAGTGCCATTCATTGGTTTAGTAGGACCGAGGCAAGGCGCCTCAAGTCAACCCCTTCAGTTGGCAAAGTCAGTGAGTCCGGTCTTGCTTCATCGAACCCCCAAGCTTTCCACGGAGTGGGTATGTGGTCGATCTAGTTCACCCAACATGCTCGGGCTAGCTGCCCAGTTTAAGCCCATTGCCCTGGACCAGAAAAAAAGTTGTCCCCAAGATGGGTTACGTAGGAATTAACACTGGAGTTAATTCCAGCCAAGCCGCACTGAGCAAAGCACATGGGAATTGAATTCAATCCTCAAGAAGCTGAATGTTGGAGAATATGAGTTAATTCCAGACTTCATTCCAAACAAGGTCAATGTCGACAATAAAAAGAACCAAGTCCAAAGCTAATTCCCATGAAGAGCATGCAACTCTGCTTTTTTGGTAAATATGTTTTTGAATGATCTCTTCACTCCGTCTCGTTGCTCTGGTTCATGGCAAAGGCTTCTCGGTGACAAGCACATACAATGTCTATGCTTCCGAAGACAAAGGCAAACACCGCCCCTTTTCGAGTGTTCCTGGCGGCCAAAGTCAGGAATTGGGCCGCATTCAGAGTTGAATCCAGATCGTCTTCTCGCAGCCACCCTGTCTTTGAATCGCCCCAAGAAATAGATCTGGATTCAACTGTGATACATTGAGTCCCAAGAAATCAAGGAAGCGTCTTTTTAGACTCCGGCTGCCTTTTGTTGCAAGAAGCAAAGCAACCTCGATACAACGAATTAAACCCACTTAGCCAAAACCCACCACAAACCAAGCCACCTTCAGCCCACCCTATGGAAGGCGTGTGTTTTGTGAAGTTAGCCAGTGTCAAGAGGTTGTAAACAGGGTTGTTTGGGCACTCTTGCCAAATTGCACCGCGACTGGAGTTTGCGAGTAGGGCGTGCGAGTGTGCGAGTGGACTGTGCGAGCGTGCGAGGGGAACGGGCGAGCGAGCCGATTTATTCTCGCCAACTCCCAGGGATAGCTTTAGGTCGCCCGAAGAATCAAACTTTTACAAAATCCAAAAATCGAAGAACAGACGGTTGTGTACCTGGTGGCTTGGCTTGCCTGGCAGGTACAACCATGTTCTCTGATGAATTGACTCCACACATATATATCCGGGGGGTACATTAAGACCCCCCATGATTTACATGCTGGGAGTTTATTCATCAGGGAGCTGGAGGGTGAACAGCAGGATTCCTGGGATCCCTTCTGCCAGCTGGCTGCGCAGGTTTGTGAAGTGACGGGAGGCAACAGGGAACCAATACTCCAATTTTCAAAAGGTTGAGCAACATTGGGTTTGCGGCTGACGCGGAAACAAAGTTCAGGGGGGTTGGGGGCGACAAATTCAGGAAAGCGAGGTTCCACAAAGACTTGGCTGTTGGTAGCAAAGCTGAGAACCCCGAAATTCTTGCGGTTGGATCTCTGGCCGCAGACCCACCGCATGCGCCAGTCTATTGTGGCGAAGACGACTGGCCGCTACCTCGGATATGCCAAAAGGCGCACTTATGGGCTGCCTTTCAGTCAGCATAACATTGCATGGGCCATTGAGAAGGGGGCTGATCTCCCGGCGAATCTTCCGTGAGTGCGTATCTCATACAGATATATACATATTTTATGTGTATATTATATATATATATATATTTGGGAGTCGTTCTAAAGGTCCCTGTACGGAGTTGAGTATTCGGTCGACCATCGGGGTTGTTGAGGTACCTTCGCGAAAGATTCACAGAAGGTCATGTTGCAAGTCAGTGCCATGTGAAAGCAGAGTATCGTTTCTTTCGAGCCTTCCTTCCATAGCTGATTAAGAAGCTTTTTTGCTATTGATACTCTGCTTGGCTGGTTTGTGCTGCAAGTATGTGTGTGTGCGCGCGCATTTCGTGTACCGACTTGGCACTGAACATTGCAGAACAGTGCCAGCAAGGAGGGGTTGGAATAGCGTCTAAAAACAAGTTACAGTGCCCAGAATCTGGGTAACAGCGACCAAGTCGTGTTTCAGTAACATTTTGCGTACTACACTTGTACTTTGTGTTGCGACTTGCTGAGTCTAGCAAACAAGAAAAACCACATGTACGGCGATCAATCCTCGAAAGATTTGCCGAAGCTTGTTTTTTGCTTTTGTTTCGCGAAGGCTTGCCGTTCCGAGACACAGGAAATTAGGACACAATATATAAATACATACATATTATTTCGATTACAGACACATATGTTTGTAAAATGACACCCCCTTACCCAAACCCGCATATCCAGAATTCACTTGTAAAACTGTACTTTGAGCCTCTACCATTTAGGGGAGTCTCTGGAAAACAAGCAGCAAGAACAAAGACACTTTCGCAGCTTCCCTCTAGTCCACAACTAAGAAGCAATTGCCCTATCCCCGTCCAGAACTGAACAACTTAGAAAAGCGATCTCCCAGGAGAAGGTCTGGCAGCTGCATCTCTGTTCAGAAGCAAGCGTGTCCAGTTGTTTCTCAATATTGCTTTGGTTTTTCAGGTCGCTTCGTTCAGTTTGCTTCGCGTTTTTCAGTGCTGGACGAACGTCCCTGGGTGGGATGGCTTGCACAGGCATTGTCTAGCCCGTACACAATTAAACAGACAGACTGGATGTATTTGACATGGAATACCAAGGACGACGTTGAATTTAAAGAGGTTCTGAGACCATTGTTTGAATAAAAGAAAGCAAAAGCACCGGAGGACATTCAGGGACACACATTGAATATGGAAAATGTCCTGCGCACTTTTGAAGAGATAAAAGCCTGAACGTGCAACGAATTGCTGCGGATTTGGACGCAGAGGCGATGACAACAGTACAACGCTGAAGATGTTTAGCTATGTTTCAAGGTTTTGCTATGAGTAAACTACCAGCACTTCACTGCAGTCAGAAGAAAAATTGCGGGTATTTACGTAATTACTGTTGAGTCATCTCTGCCACTTTGTCCAAATCCTCGAAACCTGAGAAATGTGCTGTCGCACAAACAAATGCGGAAAAGCACGTTGAAGCACTTTTGGATTGAAGGTTGAAGATTCTCAGGACTCTGGTTTTTGAAGATTCACGGACCAAGCCGAAGACATCGGCTTGGACCAATAATTGCTATTGTACACCAGGGTCATTTGTCAGGAACTGAAACAACTGAAGCATGAAAGGTGGAAAAGCCGAACAACAAATAGTTGTGGATAGAGATGCTACCTGATCTTTCTCACGGAGATGTTCCCCCCAGCTTTCAGTGTTTTATGTTGTTTTGCTTTCCTGTTTTGAACCGGGATAGGATCGCGCCACCTTTCTCCTGGGAGACAATTGCTTTTTTGGTTTGGACTGAGAGCGTTTTTGTTTGGTGTGGGGGGGGGGGGACGTTATACATATATACATATGTGTAAACATATATATATATATACATCTTTATGGATAGATGCAACACAAACTATGCACGTTGTTACCCAAAACCTTCGGCTGTCTGTTTGGGGCCGAGGCGTTCGCCTGGGCCTGAGATGGGGACTCTCCAGCACGCGGAGCCCAAGAACTGTGTTCTGCATCGGGCGTGCGCAACTCCTGAGACAATCATCCAATCTTCTCAGACGTGTTTACCAGAATTTACGAGAATTCAGGAAGAGAGCAGCTACCCCCCCCAAAGCCACCCCCCCAAATGAATAAGCACCAACCCTGCGCAGCCAAGCAGCGTGAAGGGGAATAAGCCTTATTTAGCCTTGTTAAGCCTTACTAAGCCTTATTAAGCCTTATTAAGCCTTAATAAGCCTTATTTACTGGTTATCGAATGTGGCTTAATAAGGCTTAGTAAGGCTTAATAAAGCCCAAACAAGCCCTGCCATTTCGGCAGCCTAAAGGCCATGGTCACACCGCAACTGCTTTGCATGTGTAGCGCCATTTAGAGGCCCCTCTTTTCAAAAGGGGTGAGAGCAGGCGCGGTCCCAAAAGAGGCCCCGGGATGCGTGGTCAAGCCTTTTTTTTTGGGGGGGGGGAGCTTCAAAATTGCGCTATTTGCACAATTCTGGAGCTCCCCCCCCAAAAAAAATAGCACAATTTACAGGAGCCCCAAAAAAGTGCTGAAACAGGGCCCGAAAAGAAACCCTGAAGCCTGTGCGGCGCGTGCCCGGAACACGTGTCATCTCACTCTCTCAGGATTCCTGACACCTCAGTCAGTTGAGAAGGAGCGTCTAGCCCTTGTTCTTTTGGGGGGGGGTAGCTTTGGGGGGGGTGGCTCATCACTACCTGAAGAATCCAAGTCCAATCCACAAGTGGAGATCCTGCTGGTGTTCAAGGGGAAACAGCTTACCCAGATAGAGAATAGAATGGATGCATTGACTTGCATTCGTGATTTTGTGGGTGAGTTGACAATGGATGACTTGCTGGTGCTCAGTAGGGAAAGACCCAGGGTTTTGGGAACGAACCTGGGGATTCCCTTAAAGGAAACCATAGGGGATGGGCTATAGGGGTCACTCCCTCATTTCCTGCAAGATGAAGCCCACAGACAACTGAAAAGTGCTCTCTTTCTTTGGCCACAGCTTCGTCACACCTTTTGTCATTTAGGGGGTTCATGACTTGCGTGATGTGGGTGTGTGCTGAAAGTGTTTTCAGTGAATTACATGAGTACTCCTTGATACCTTTCAACAGGAGGATGTCCACTGGCAACAATCATTTCCGCATCAGAGAGTCTCTTAACCAGTGCATTCTGTGCAGCTTCCCGTAGATTAGTTGCAAGCGGGAGAGAGCGAACTGAACATGTTGGGAGACATGAATTAATTTGCGGTACTGCATCCTGGGTTGCCGGCAAATCCTCAGTTGACTCCAAGAGAAGGAATAGGCACGCGGGAAAGAATCGCGCACGCGTGTGGCGGGGGAATAGAAATGTGAACAAAGTTAAAAGCAAACCCTCTCCGGGCTTCGTCAGTGCTTTGGGATGCTCGAAAGTTAGCCTGATCGCGACGCCTGGTCGGAGCGATCTCGGCTCACCTGCCAACGCGTTCGATGCAGGCGCATCGCTTTCGCAAGGCCAGGTACAGATTTTGTGGCAGTCGCAGCGCTTTCGCGAGGCCGCGACAGGCGCAGCACACTTGCGAGGATTTCGTAGCAGTCGCAGCGCGTTCCCAAGGTCAGGTGCAGATTTCATGGCAGGCGCAGCGCTTTGGCAAGGTCAGGTAAAGATTCCGCAGCATGCGCAGCACTCTCGCAAGTTAACGAGCGCAATGGGGAAAGTGGAAAGATACATCGCAAGATAGAGAGAGATGAGGTAGATTGAATAATAGATACGTAGAGGGGTTCGGTAGGTAGGTGGATGCAAAGAAAGATAGAGATGAAAAAAGGGTTGGATCAACAAACAGATAGATAGATAGATAGAAAGACAGAGAGAAAGAGAGAGAGAGAGAGAGAGACAGAGAAATAGATAGGAGGATCAATAGGTAGGTAGCGATGGATAGCCAAACACCCGCATCTTCCTGCTGCAGGAGGAGGGGCTGAAAAGCAATAAGGACTAGTCAAAAGCCGTCGATAGATGTCTAGATAGGGAGAGAGAGAGAGGTAGATATAGGCAGATGCGTAAGTAGATAGAGAAGATAGAAAGAAAGCAAGAAAGAAAGAAAGAGAAAGAAAAAGAAAAAGAAAAAGAAAAAGAAAAAGAAAAGAAAGATAGATCAATGAAAAGATAGAGAGAGGTAGGGTAGATTGAAGAATAGATAGATGGGTAGAGGGGGTAGGTAGGTAGACAGGTAGAGAGAAGACAGGTTAGATAGACTCTGCCTTTTTGTATCTGTCTCTATCCACCTAGCTATCTACCTACCTGTGAAATTTTACCCGGCCTTGCGAAAGTTCAGCGCTTGTCACGAAATGTGTACTTGACCACTTGATCGATAGGTAGATAGAAAGAGAGATAGAAAAAAGAAATGTTCGATAGATGAGAGAAAGATCAGACCGATAGTTAGGTAGATTAGACAGACACAGAGGGAGGGCGAGAGAGCGACAAACAGGTAGATAGTTAGATAGACATCTAGAGCGGTGAAGATAGAGACAGACACATAGCCGGATGAGAAACAGATAGACAGAGCAAATAGAAAGATAGAGAGAGAGAGAGAGAGAGAGAGAGAGAGAGAGAGGGAGAGAGAAGCGGGAATGTGAGAGAAAGAAGGAAGGAGGAAGGAAGGAAGGAAGGAAGGAAGGAAGGACGGACGGAAGGAAGGAAGGAAGGAAGGAAGGACGGAAGGAAGGAAGGAAGGAAGGAAGGATCAACTCAACGGCAGGCGAAGAAATCAGCATCCGGTATGTCTGCATTGTAGGGGCCAAGAAAGACAAAAGGTCTGGCTTGACAAAAAATTCTGGGCCGGCTGGCCAGAGTTGCTCGTTAACCCTGGACAGTGTCTCATGCCGGGTGCTTATTCTTTGCCTGCTCTGGGCGAACGTGCGCACAGACCGCCTTTTTTACTGCGCGCGCAGCAGGGTTTTGAAACCCGTTCGCGTAGGCGGCGCAGGCATCGCAGATGGCGCAGCTGGCGCAGGCAGTGCTGACAGCGCCTATTGCCCAGTCGGCGCAGACGGCGCAGGCGGCGCAGACGACGCAGACGGCACAGGCGCCGCAGACGGCGCAGGCGCCGCAGACGGCGCCGGCGCCGCTGCGCAGGCGCCGCAGATGCTGCTGATGGCGGGGACGGCGGAGGTGGCACAGGTGGCGCACACGACGCGCACGGCGCAGACGGCGCAGGCGCCGCAGACGGCGCAGGCGCCGCTGCGCAGGCGGAGCAGACGGCGCAGACGGCGCAGATGGCGCAGATGGTGCAGACGGCGCAGGCGCAGACGGCGCAGATGGCGCAGACGGAGCAGACAGCGCAGACGGCGCAGATAGCGCAGATGGCGCAGAAGCAAGTGCAGACGCGCTTTCCGCCCACACTGGAATATCTTGTCGCCGGCTGAAAAATCAAAATATTACTGCTTCTCTTCAAGAAATGCGGCCCTTCGATTTGGGCAAGGCCGGAGGCCGTGCCGCACTCCTTCAGGCCGGGGTTTGAAGAAGGTCGTACTGAAACTCTGGGCTCCGTTTTAGGAACGAATCTATAGGGGCTTCCTCTGACAAGGGTTCGGATGATGATCTCGGGTTACAAGACCAAGCGCGGAGAAGTTTCCAACGCAGGTTTGTAGGCCCGAGGGGGTTCCTTTTGCAACAGTTTTCGTAAGAGCTTGGAAATCCTTCACCAGGGAGTCCGAAACCGATTTTGGGTTTAAAAAAACGAGAGAACCCAACCGACATGCTGGCTGGGCCGTTTCGAAAGCTGGGTGTGTGCTTTCCCGGAACGACCCCATGAACGCCGTGCCGTTTGTCGTTGGTTGTTTTTTCATTTTCTCAAAGCAAATCGACCAAATCCGACTTTGGGAAGGAGGAGATGAACAGCGGCTTTCCTTTTGAAGGTCATTCGCCCCAAGCAGATGTTGAAGGATAATATAGCATAGTATATATATATATACATGTCCCACGGACAAGTGACCTAAAGATACATGCATGGATGACATACTTAATGAAGCCTTTCAAGTTGATTTGTTGCTACTTGATGTGTATTCTCATTTTACGACAGTTGCGCCCAAAAAAGAAAGCCAGAAAGGGACGTTGCCAGAATGCTGGAGTCTCTCGAATGCAAGCCAAGCCTCAACTCTACGCATTAAGGTGCTCTATCAGATGCCACAAGCTGCAGTCGACAGTTGTCAGAGCCAAAGCTGTCTGCAAATTGGTCACCATGAGAAAGGAACAACAAATTGTGGTTACAAATTCCGTATGTGAGTTGTTTATGTTGTTTGCTGGCGTAGAACAACATGTCGAAATCAACTGGACCACCGACTTTCAAGTGTCCCAATCCAAGGGTTGGATTCAAATCGGGTTGAACGTGTTGAGATGAAACTCTGTCAATATTCCTATTCTGGTCGAAAGTTTGAACTGTTTGAGATCATAGTACAAACAAACCTTATATGTTTGAGTTTCAATAGCGGAAGGCGGTGGTTGCAGTTTCAAGTCCTATCTACCCAAGTCATCCCAGCAAAACATACTAGATTTTGGCTGATGGCTAGCCACTCTTTGAGGAGTGAGATGTAGGTGGAAACAGGGTGGTTGTTTTTTTTTGCCAGTTCTCAAAAACGTGGCGGGTAGGAGATTGAGAACATTGGCAAGATCTTGAGCAAGGGTTATAAAAGTCCAACTTCACCTGGCACATACCCGGCGAATCCGGGCCGTGGCGCATGCGGTTTCGGCACACTTTCCGATGCATTTTCTACCAGCCTGAGAGACGTTTTCCTTTGGGCGGGCAATGCATTCGCTGAGTCTGAAGCGGGGGTATCTTTTAAGGGACCCCCGAAATGGTTTCTTTTGGGTTCCCCCCACAACCACAAAACGGGTACCCTCCGAAAAGGCACGCCCAAAGATTCGTGCAGGCCTTCCACCTCAGCACAGGCCTGGAGACAACCGGGAAGAGGGAGTCAGACTCAAAAGAAGGTTGGTCTATTTGTTCAAACATTGCGGTTCAGGTTGCATACAATATGGGGCAGCTCGGCATGATTTATTTGCTAGCAGCATCAACTGTCAGACTCAGCAAGAATATGTTGCAAACTCAACGACTATGTGTCAATGTACAATGTCCAAACAACTTTGCGCAAGCTCAGCAATCAACTCCAAGCAAGCGTTCGGTGGTTTCTAAGGGAAAGGGCGAGGCAGTCAAGGGCGCTCATCACGAGCTGAACGGGCGGGGGGTCGAATCTACACCGGACTGGTTTGGTCGAATCTACACGGAGTAAGGGGTGCAAAGCTGCGACTTTGTGCCACACCGTGAAATTCCACCTGTTGAATATACACGGGGTAGGGAACAAAATTTGTGTGTGCGAGCCGATTCCCCCAAAAATGGTGAGGAGGGGAGGGGTGAGGTACAGCTTTCGTGACATTTGTGCGAGGTGCTGATTTCGTGGGCCCTTACCACCCCTCCACCCCCCACCCCTTTACCACCGCCGCAAGGGTCTGTAAAGCCTGGGAAAGGTCAGAGTGGAAGTATACGAGTAAGACATTGCAACATCCAGCCTACCTACAGTGTTTTGACCTCCCTCGGGTTGCACGTTCTCACTCTCAGGGCCCCGTGCCAGTTCCTGTGCGAGAAGCTCAGGCGCATGTGGCAAAAAACTGGCCAGGGAGCTCAATGTTCTTTTTCAAACTGGGGGCACCAAGCTTGGGGGTTGGGCTCAAGCGGGTTTAGGTCTTAGGTTGTTTTGATATCCTACAAAACTCCTCATACCAGGATTTGGTCCAAATTTGAGCTCATGGTTGATACGCTGATTGGAGCTTCACTTCGTCGAAAACCTTCTTTTCCAGGAATGATGGAAGATGGAAGAAGGGTATGGGAAGACTGTTGAAATGGCCGTGATTGCCGGGCACATGGTATACAGTGTTGCCTTTGGAATTGAAAAGATCGGCGGCAAAGACAAAGAGTCTGTTGTCAGAATCTGACAACAGACTCTTTGTCTTTGCCCGCCGATCATCAGATGAGGTTGGTTTCCTCAATCCTGCAGGCTCCCTTTTCATCCATTGAGGCGTGTTGACGTGCAGTTCCCAATTGGGGACAAGCTCACTTCAACCCTACTAAGACTCCTGCCTTAGCCTGAATCCTACATAGCCCAGCGGCGCCCAAAGTGCCCAAACGACATTCAGCTCCTGGAGGACCCTTGCTTTTTCAGTGCTTGGGTTTCCTTTAAAGTCAGGCAACAAAAGTGGTCCAATGAATGTAAACGTCCCTTCCTGGGACTCCCTTCCGATCCGTTGCTCCCTAAGCCTGTCAGGCTTCGGATACTGAAGGGCAGAACTTGAGGAACCAAGTTGATCGTTGGCTAGCACCAAAGGCCCGTCAAACCCTGGAAACGTTCTCGGAACCTCAGAATTGGTTCTGATCGAAGGGTTCTGAGAGCCATTCTGATGGGTGCGGGCTCCTTGTTTCCTTTTGTGTGCTTTTCCCTTTGCATTCATGAATGCTTGCCAATGAATCAAGGGTGCCTTCTTTTTGCGGAGATGGCGTCTTTGACTTGACTGTTGTATTGTAAGGCTGGCGATCACTTGTCTATGATCGGGGCAAGTCAGAAGAAAGTTGGGCTAGGACAACCTTTTTCAACAAAAACAAAACAATAGTCCCAGGGTGGCAGTCTGATTCACCAAATTTGCAGAGGGGCAAGGGACTGTGGATTCAGGTTCCAACCCTGTGCATGAGTGTACTTGTACATGCTCCGCCGCTACAGACTTCAAGAGCACTGACAGCAGTGTGAAAAGGTAGTCAACGGTTTGCTGCTTGCCTAGGCTTAGGTGGCCTAGGCTTGATAACACAGGTTATCAGCCGTAAAGGCTTGTACAAAGATCGCCATGGCATCCGGAGATATGCCTGCCATTTACAATATATCTGGAGATGTTGGTGACGGTAGTGAAGGTGCAGTTGCACCCAATGGTCCTGTCGACCCTCGCAATCCTCGAAACGTATTCGGATTCGCGACAAACTATCAAGCCACCCAGAACATCATGCATGTGCATAACGACACGGGTGACGCTGTTAGGGAAGAGGCCAACACGTTACATCGCGTTGCTATGGATGCTGCAAGGGCGGAATATAGCGCTCATTTGGCGGAAACTGTGCATCGCCTGGACGAGGAGAACAACCGCCGGACCCTTGAGCTGCACGAGCAGTTCGCAGAGTCCCGCGCTTTCTTCAGCGCCCAGGTTAGCCAGATGCGGGGAGCAATTTCTGCCGAAGTGAACGAAGCTGTGTCGCAAAGAACGGCACAGTATAGCGCTTTCGCACAAAGCTTACATGCTGAGACTGTTGTGATGGAGAACTCGGAGAAGGCGGTCGGTGAGCAGAGAGACAGTATTTTGGCGGAGAACCACGCCATGCAGGACACGATCAACGGGCTGAACGACACCGTTGAGCGTCTGAGGAACGATCTCGAAAAGGCGCAGCGTGAAATGGTGCGCGGAGATCCTCAGCCTGCGTCAAGTTTTCAGAACGTCAGTTCGGAGTCGTTTTTGGATAAGAGGGGCAGTATCTTTGATGATCCGCGTCTTTTTCCAACGCAGAATGCACAAACTTCTGGACCTATGCCTCAGATTATTCCACAGCAGAGTTGGACTGATCCTATTTCTGGTGCAATGCAGTTTGATATCAAAGATCATGCGAGACGGTCTTCGGAGCAAGAAAACAGCCGAAGTCAGCAAAATCAGCCGACAAATCAGCCGAACATTGATCGGTTGACTGGTCCCGAGACCACCGAGGCGGAGTTCCGTGCGGCCCTCCTCGGCTTTGTCCGGAATCAGCATGATCGGCCAAAAGCAAAGGAAGCTGATTCGTTGAGGCTGAGTGAGTTTCCCACTCCTGAGACCTATAGAGCCTGGAAAACGGCTACTCGCGAAGAGATTCGGGCTGCTTCAGATCGGCCTGACGCTGCATTCACCTGGGTTAACAAGGTGTACGTCAACCGGGAGGACAAGAAGAATCTCATGTTAGAGCTTGGAGATCCAGAGCAGGTCGAAACGTTGGATACAAAGCTTCTTGCAGCCTTGTCGCGGATTGCTAAGGGCGACCTTAGTCGGCAGATCCTTACCTACAAGGAGCAACAAGCTGCTTTGGACAAAGTTGTCCGTGGACGTCAAGTTCTTCTCATGTTTGAGCAGTATTTCAGGACAAATGAGGAGGCCGGAGCGTTGTATTCCACTGAAGATTTGTTGAAGGTGGTACTTCACGGCAATGATTTGATGACCTTTATTCAGAATTGGGATTCCGTCATTGCTGGCATGAAGATCGTTCCGGAGCAGCACGTCTTGAAGGACATTTTCTTGCGACAGATTCGTGGATGTCACAAGATCAAGTATGACCTCGATACATACGAGCGTGCAAAAGATGGGTCGTATGACAAGAGCTACGAGTTTCTTGTTCAAGCCGTTCGTGATGTTTTGACTCGGGAGCGATTGCAGTCAAATCGTGATCGTGTCGCTCGAGCTCACAATCAGAAGGTCGGTGCTCCAGCTCCCAATGCAAATCCTGGGCGTGCAAGAGATCCTTCAGCGGTCAGGTATTGCTATGATTTTCAGAAAGGCAAGTGCACTCGGGATAATTGCATTTACAAGCATGAGAAAGACCCAAGACCCCCGAGCCAGAATCCGAAAGGAAAAGGTCGGGGGCGCTCTGACAGCCAGGGGAGAGACAGGGATCGGTCGGCATCGAGAAAGAGAGCGGAGCTGAAAAAGACCCCGTGCAGGTTTTTCAAAGGCGGTCAGGGGAAATGCACTCGTGGAAACAACTGTGCGTTTTCGCATGAGACTCGGTCTGCTGCACCAGCAACAGATAAGCCGAGCCCAAAGAAAGGAGCCAGCAGAGGTAGGTCTCCCACCCCAAAGGGAAAAGGGAGAAAGCGATCCCAGAGCAAAAAGGGCGAGTCCTCAGCCGCTGTGTGTCTGAGGGTGAAAGAGACCAATGCATGCCTCGCAGCATGCCGCCCAAAGCAAGATTTCTGGGAAGTTGACTCGGTGAACGAGATGGTCATTCGACACCATGTGATGCCCCGAAAAGCGCTCTATGATCCGAAGAGTGCAAAAGACAATTTCGCTGGAACGTCTATTGGATCAGCGCATCACCAAAGCCAACATCAATGGCAAAGAGCAAGTGTTTGGTGATTTCTGGGCGGATCCTGATGAAGGTTTGGAGCAATACTGGACTGGGCAAACAATTTTCATTTGCAGTACAGCCTGTTCCAACACCCGCAGATGCGTCAAATTCGCAGACAATGTCGAGATCGTCGAGATCGAGGCCAACGGGCTATGCCTATCATGTGCTCCAAAGCCGAATGACCCTGAGGTTGTGTGGTATGACGGTTATGCGCCTGGCTCAAATCCCAAGGATCTGATCGATGCTAAAGACAAAGCTTTGATTCTGGAAGGGGTTGTTGACTTGATTCATGTAAATTACAACGCGCCTTGTGGGTTCTATTGCGAATACTACGATGACAATGACCCAATTTATTGCGGTTTGTATTGTCCTGGCTGTTGGATTGATGATGACGAAACGAACCTTGACGATGTGCCGGAGTATATTGCTACGCCAGCACCAGCAGGGCTTCGTCAGTGGATTGTCGACACGGGTAGCGAACAAGATCTGGTTGACTCTGAGCGTGCAGTTACACTTCAAAAGAAGATAAATCCTGCATTGACTCCAATCAATCTTTCAACAGCAAATGGATCAATTTGTGCAGACAAGATTGCGGACTTCTCCATTGATCAGTTGAACGAGGTCGTCACTCCGTATGTTTTGCCGAGCACGCCAGCTGTCCTTTCTGTTGGTCAAAGATGTTTGGAAAAGGGGTACGATTTCGTATGGAGAAAGAACAGTGCTCCGTACTTCGTGCGACCTGACGGGAAAGCGGTAATATTGAAGCTCGACGGGCGAGTTCCATATGTTGACGATCAGTGCGAGGTCATAGCTTCTGAATCCGCTATGCCTGTTGCTCTTGCTGCATCCGATCAGAAGATCGGGGGCGTTCAAGTGCCTTCATCTTCAAGCGGGGGGCAACCTCCGCCGGATGCCGCATCGTTTCCATTGCGCCCTGATGAAGCTGAACCGCTGGAACCGGAGTTTAATCCGGAATTGGAGGACAACCCTGAGGTTGCGGAAGCTCCAAAACCGATGTCAAAGCGTTCAAAAGAAATGATGATGCGTGAGGCCAAAAGTGAAGAGCATCTTTTCACTCACAGGCCCAAGAACCCCTTTTGCGAAACGTGTGTGCGATCAAAGATGCAAGCACCTCAGGCTCGTCGCAGACATGGATCTTCTTCGGTGGATGCAAAAGCATTTGGAGACCATGTGACTGCTGACCACGTCATTTCAAATGATGAGACGTACGGGTTCAAGGGCGAGTGGAATGCTTTGGTCGTGAAAGATGTGTTCACGCAGTTCCGGTATTTTTACCCTTCAGCAAGGCAAGATGCTGACAGTTGCGTTCGTGCATTTCAACATTTCACGAAGCCAGATGATCATGTTGGGATTTTCTATTCTGACAATTCTGGCGAAATTGCAGCTGCAGTAAAGAGTATGGGTTGGAGACACGTGCTGAGCCAGCCATATGTCAGTCAATCTTC